TCCAAGCGGGAGGCTTACAGGTGGCTTGCGGACTTGGGCGGAGTGAGGCCGAGCTCTCCTAGTCTGCAGGACAGGCGAGCAATCCATAATACTTCCGCACAAACAGTCAATTCCAACCTGAAATTATGAAACGCATCAAAATCAATGGTTCAATGACAAGTTGGGGATGGCAATGTCGATGGCAGGCATGTCTTGCCTTGCTAAGGGCATGTGTATGCTTCCCTCGTGGAAGGCAAAGCATGTTAACGGCCTTCCGCCTTGCCGGCATGAGCCTTTTTTTCTCCGATTCTTCGAAACAGTCAAGAGGAGGTTCATGGCATGCAACGCCTGGAAGACTGGCTATGACAAGGTGGCCGACTGGTGGCCTATCATCCGGAGGAATTTTGATCCAACGGAGGTGCTGGTGAAGTGCCCTCCTCTCTGTGCGTTCATGTGGCTAAATGCGGAGGGCAGCGTAATCGTGCTTACAGGTGGGCGGCAGTTTTGGGAGGCGAGCCTCGCTGCGGATGGAGCGGATCTCCCCGCCGCAGCATGGCTGGTGAGCGATTGCGCAGCTATGATGGAGGATGCTCCGTCCCACATTCGCAATGATCCTGACTTTCGCATCGAGCATCCCATCGCGAAAGTACACGCCCTGAGGGATTTGCCGCCAATTGTTCCTGAGAGCTCCGACAGACATAGACATGAGGAGATAGTGGGCCTTGGCCCCAGCCGTTTCAAGTACTACATAGTCGATCACGAATGCTCGGGCAATCGAGAGATTGTGATGGACGAGGGCCCTTGTCCCTTGTTTCCGGAGAAGACGACGAACGCCGATTGAGGAGCGTGACCGCAGAGTTGGCTGAGAAGTTCTTCGAGCATGCGCGCCTCCGACATGCTGTGGGGCGCCCTTTCGTCTGGGCGATCGCCGGGGGAGCCGTTGATGTGTCGGTGGGCCCAAGGGCGGCAATTTCGGCCAAAACTTATTGGAATGAGTTGACCGCAGCCAAATTCATGTGTCAACACATGACGGTCGTTCCAACCAATGGTTGACGAAAATGTTGATCAGAGAGGTGTCGCGGCAGGGGCCGCCGAACTCCTCGATGATTTCTGGGGGTGGTGGTGGGGGTATCGAGTCCGAACTACATGATCATGGGCGTCCTCGTGCGATGAACATAGTCAGGGAACGCGCGATGTAGCGTGTCATGCATGAGCGGTGCGTTGTGCCCCCCCCCCAGAAATGCGCCCCCCCTGAAGGGCAGAGCTTCGAGTGACATGCGACGTCGAGGAAAGAGTTGACTATTGCCCGCGGCAGAAGCGGAGATTTTCATACGAAGTCGACACTATGATAAGGAACACCATCAAGAGTTGTGACCTCTGGGAAGCACTGATCTCGGGATTGGGGCTCGGCCTTGAGACCCGATGCGTGCGAATCCTTGGCCGATCCAGATTGCGATGGCCGGCTTCGCCAGCTAGATTAACTGGCAAGAGCCATCGCCAGTGAGTGCCTTGGTCTGTGGACTTGCTTGGTTGCCAAACGTGGGCAGGAAAATGCTGCAATCGCTGTTGACATCCTGAGTTGATTTGCTGACAACGGGTTCCCTGATGTAGGTTCAGCCGGTGATGGGGCATCCGCGAGCCGTCAGGCGCAGAATGATACGTGGACCGATATGGCAGTCGAAGAAGTATCCAGCTCTGAGGCAACTGTCATTCCACGCCCGACGGGGGGGCCTGCTGAGGGGCCCGCTGCCGACTCAGTCAGTCGGGGGGGCTCCTGCGCCGGCCTTGCCAGAACCAATGGGGGCGGAGACTAGGGGCGCCGAGGGCGCCGACTCAGTCGCTGCTCCTGCGCCTGCTGCTCCTCGTCTCCCTCCTCCTCCTCCCGCGCCGCCGACGGAGGGCGACTGGATGGCTGCCGCCTCCGATGGGCGCTCTCCACGATGGCGCGCGCGCTGGCCCGGCGGAGCCCGGCGCCGTTGCCGCCGAGGCCGAGGCGCAGGGGCCGCGATGCTGCGTCGAGACCAGTCGCGGCCGCGACTATCTCCACAACGACGCCGCCGTGGCGTCGCTAAGAGCATGACGGACAAAGGGCGGGGCGTCAGGCGCTGAGCAGTTACGCGACGCGGAACACTTGCCAGCGTGGCCAGTACCAGGGCCGCTGGATTCGTGGCCACCATTATGATGATCACGAGAATGGTGGAAAATGGGTGTGCAATGACGCCGGACGGAGGTGGTATCGGGGGTCGTTGGACGACTGCTTCACCGTTTACAACAACAGTGGTGATTTCATCTCGCGCATCTCAAGGTAATGAGCAACATCCCAGTGGAGGCTTGGCCGCCGCGGTGCTACTTGCAGAAGGGGGGCAGGGCAATGTGCCTGTGCGAGAGTCGCAATTTTCTTCAGAGCCCGGGCATCGGCACGCGGGGCGCGTCGGCCCGATCCGACCTTGCGCGCGGGAGCTCCGGGTGTTATCGGCGCCCATGCCCCAGGCGCTGCGAAAACTTTGAGGGGTTGGCGCTGGGGGGGCCCATGCGCCCTGGGGGGTGCCAGGAAACTGCTTTGCTCGAGGCTGGGTGCGAAGTGCGCGGCCCGCGCGGCCCGCCGCGGGGGGATGTTATTGCTCCATCCCCGTTCGCCCCTCGCGCTCGCCGCCGCCGCCGCCGCCCGCGGCTGTTAGAGATTGGCTCGAGGGCCGAGCCGTGAGGAAAAGCGGGGCCCGGGTCGCCGCGTCGTCGTCGTTCCCTCCTAGCCTTGCACCCTCGCTCCGTTGCATCAGCTTCGCGGATTGTTGCGCCATCCTCCTTTCTCCCGCCTTCGCCAGGAGTCGTGCTCCAATGGCGAATGACTCACCGACCTTCTCTTTGCTCAGCTTCTGCCTCCTGCCTCCTTTCCCCTGCCTCTTGCCTCCGTCCGCTCCCCCCCTCCATCTCCCGCTTGTTTTCGCGCTTCTGCCCCCCCCGCCCCCCTCCCCATTTTTTCCTCGCCCCTCTCCTCCTCCTCTCCCCATCCGCCCCGCAGGGGCGCGGGGGGGGCCAGAGGGGAAGCGCGCGCCAGCGCTCGTCTCCCCTTCTCTCCTTGCCCTTCTGATTCCCCTCCCGCGTTCCCTGCGGGGGCGCAGCGGGGCCGGCGGGGGGGCGCGCGCCGGCCCTCGTCGCAGGTGCCGCGGAGAGCGGAGAGACGCCGGAACGTCAGTGCTCTTGGCCATGCCGGCGTGATCAGAGACGCTAGGGCGCTGCCATCGCTGCCGGCGCGAGGTCTCTCCGTCGCGAGTCGAACGTGATATCGACGTCAATGAAATCGGTGAGTTGGCGCCGGCGGCGGGAAGTGGCGGCCGGTCGATATCGATTCCGATGTCGATTCCAGCCGGCTCGAGCACATTCGATTCCGAGGTTCCGACTGTTCGTTGCAGCCAGACGCTCGCATGGTGGTGCTGTGCGTCCTGGCCTGGCTGATCCGACTCGATTTCGGCGCCGTGCGATGCGGCCCGATCCGATCGACGGTCCGATCCGATCCGCTTCCGCGATTCGATGCGGACTGCTCCTGACCAGCTCGAGTCCCATTTTCCCCCTCCGCTTCTTTTTCCTTTCCGTGTGCCCCGTCGACGCCCTGGGGTCCATTGACAGTTCCCCGGGCCTTTCGAGGCCTCCTTCATCCTCCTGGCCCTTTGTTTTCATTTCTCTTTGTTTTTTTTTGGCGTGGGACTCCCGTGGGCCACTCTCTTGGCCCATTTAGATGCGGATTACACATTGATTCCTTGGTGGCGGATTGCGTCTTGATTCCTTTTGTGGCGGATTGCAAAAGGACTCCTTCTGTGGCGGATTACAAATGGAATCCTTTTGTAGACGATTACAAATCGATTCCTTTGTGGCGGATTTGCAAGTTGATTCCTTTTGTGGCGGATTACACATGGAATCCTTTTGTAGAGGATTACATATTGATTTCTTTTGTGGCGGATTACAAAGGGAATCCTTTTGTTGAGAATTACAAAGGAAATCCTTTTGTGGCGGACTACAAATTGATTTTTTTTGTTGCGGATTACAAAGGAAACCCTTTTGTGGCGAATTACAAAGGGAATGTTTTTTTGTGGGGATATTGAGCGTTTTTTTTTTTTTGGTTTTTGTTTTGTGTTTTATATATAGATATGTATATGTATATATATATACATATATATATGTATACAACTATTAATTATGTATTATATATACATCTATATATATACATATATACTTATACTATTGTATATATATATACATATATTCTTTTAAAAGATTAAAAAAAGCATTATTTCTATCTTCCTTTCTATTTTATGAAAACAAGAAAAAACATTAAGTAGGAAAACCAGGTTTCGCTTGAGACTCTCTCAGAATTTTTTATACATCCATTGAGCTTGGCTGCTGTGAAATTCGGATGGAGTCTCAAGCAAAACCTGCTTTTTCATTGTTTTTGCAATGACTTCACGCAAAAACCCAGTTTCGCTTTGGACTCCTTCTGATTTCCACATCCGCCACACCCAATGGATTTATAAAATTTTGAGAGAGCCTCAAGCGAAACTTTATATATATGTATATATCTCTATATATTTATACATGAAGATATATATATATATAATATATATATATATATATATATATATATATATATATATCATATGTATTATTATGATGATTTTTATCATTGTAAAACATATTTGTAAACAGAAGTTTTTTGCAATTTTAAAACCTTGGGAACCTCTCGCAGGTTCAGGCCGCTAAAGATCCCTACGAAAGGAATGAATTTGTGACCCGCCACAACAGGATTCCTTTTGTAATCCGCCACACAAGGAATCAATTTGTAATCCGCCACAAAAGGATTCCCTTTGAAATTCGCCACAATCGGATTTCCTTTGTAATCCGCCACAAAAGGGTTCCTTTTGTCATCCGCCACAAAAGGAGCCAAATTGCATTTGGTCTCATCGCTTGTGCATTCGCTCTCTCCCCTCCCGCTGCCTCTTCCCCTCGAGCCTTTCTGCCGTGAACGTTTCATGGCCGCCTGGGTGCGCGCTGCCGGCGGCTGGGTTCTCGGGGCGCTCTCCGAGCGCTGGACCGGGGCTGGCCGCAGCGGGGTCGCCGAGGTCTCCTGCCGCTGCGTGTTCGAGGGCTCGGACACGACCGACGGCCTGGTGGCCATCCTCCGGGAGCAGCTGGCACGCTGCGGCCCGGAGCACCTGCAGGGGGTCGCGTGCCAGCCCTGCCCTCCGTGCCCGCTTCCGCCTGGGCACTACACGGGGCTCGACCTCTGCGGCGCGGCCGTGGTGGGCGTGGCCCTTGGCGCTGGGCTGGCGACAGCGGCCTGGCTGGCGGCTGGAGCGCCGGGTCGGCCGGCGGTGCGAGCGCGGGCCCTCGCCGTCGAGGACGACGCCGGCGGCGCGCACGTCGCGACGCCGTCGGCTCTCGGGCGAGGCCGGCGGGCTCCTGGCACCCGCACTGACTAAGGGCCGCCATGGCCCGAGCGCTGGACACGCCGTTCAGCCAGTGCCTCGTCAGGTACGAGGACGACGAGAACTTTCAGTGGCATCATCGAGTCCTGTTGGTGAAAGGCGATGCCCAGAAGTGGATCTGGCTCACGCCGGACGGGGAGGTGGCCTTCGTCGACCTGGCCACCTTTCGGGTGCTGGCCCTTCGGAGGTCGGGCCCGTTCCCAGCTCGGCATGCTGGGAACATCTGCGCCTTCGACGACGTGGCGGCGGAGGACATGCAGGGCTACCTCGAGGAGGCCAGGGCCCTTGGCACGATCCTCGGCTTCGACCTCGCGGGCGTCGTGGGCCTCCCGGGCGACAAGTGGTACGTGAGCGACCCCACCTCGTCGCACTTCGGCGAGGAGGTGCCGCCCCAGGTGCTCGCCAACGAGGAGGTCCTGGTGCGGCGCGGGGACGTCGGGCTCGTGCGGCTCGACGACGTCTGGATCCACGCGATCAAGGTGAGCGAGGGGCAGAACTTCGACGCGTACCTCGCGAGAGCTCGCGGGGGAGCTGGCCGGGGCCCGCGTGTCGTCGGCGACGAGAGGGACCAGGACGGAGGCAGGTACATCGACTTTCGCGACTCGGTCCGCCGCATGAAGGAGACGACGATCCCGGGCTGGCCTCTGCAGGGCCGCCGTGCCACGAGGGAGGCTGTGCTCTCCCTTCGCGACGGAGGTCAGGGCAACTGGGAGGAGCACCACGCCACCTGGCTCCGACGCAGCGGAGTGGCCGAGCGTGGCAACGTGGCCCGCGAGCACCACATGATCTGCGTGTCTCTTCGGATGATGCAGCAGTTCGATCAGCTGGACCTGTTCAACATCGCGGGCGCCGAGTACCTCGTCAGGCGGCTCAAGCAGCTGGAGTCGGCCACCCGCAAGAACCCTCGGGCTCCCGATTTCGAGGGGCTCGACCTCATCCTCGACGCGGGGGTCGACGACACGGGTGGCATGGTGCTGCCAGAGTTCGATGGATGGGTTGGCGATCAGGCGCGCGCCCGCGCCCAGACTATGAAGGCGAATCGGCAGTGGCAGGAGGAGAGGACGGCCGCGCAGCCCAAGGCGCCCCCGAAGGGGCCCAAGGGCGGCGGGGCCGACGCTGGCAAGTAGCAGGGGGCCGGCTGGCCCCCTCCTGGGGCTGGGCGTCCTGCGGCGCCCCGCCCTGCCTGGCTGCCGCCGCGGGTTCCTCCGCCGCGGCCGCCTCCACGTCCTCCCCATGGCATCGGGATCTCGCTCCTCGCACGGGGACCCGCTGCCGCTTTCGGCCCCGGGGCCTGGCCCGCCGGTCGACCTCAGCGGGGCGCCGCGGTACCTGCGCCAGCGGGTGCTCCAGCGACGCTCTCGTGAACACCGTGTTCGAGAGGCAGTTCGCTCGATCAACTGTCTCGCCGCCTGCACGGTGCGCCATCGTGGCCGCGGGCCAGGTGGCGCTGCCGATTCAGGGACTTCGGGTTCGGCGACCTCGTCCTCGCGCGGCCGGCAGCTCGGCCGCTGCGTGGCGGAGTACGGCCCTCGCCCGGCAGATCTCCACCCTCGCGGAGCCCTTCAGGAGCTCCTCAAGTCCGACTCGCTTTACGGAGGCGCGCCGTCCAAGGTCGTCCCGTACGAGGAGTCCAAGCTCAAGTTCTGGCAGTCCTCGGTCACGCCTCGAGACGTGGAGGAGGTCTGCCCCAAGTTCGTCGTCGACGCCTTCCGCGACCCCGACGCCTACATCCGCAAGCCGGACCGCGTGGTGGAGCAGGACCTCGAGCTCCTGCCGCCGGTCAAGCCGTACTGGGACGCGCGGCTTGCCAGCGACGCCCGCCTTCGCCGGGACTTCCTCCTCAGGCTCGCGGGGCGGGGGCTGGTGGGCTTCCGGAGGCGGATCAGGTCACGCGTGGGGTGTTTCTTCGTCGAGAAGAAGGGCGGCTGGATCCGCCTGGTCGTCGACGCTCGCGACGCCAACCGCACCCACTGGGCGCCCCCGCATGCCGCCCTCGGGACCCCGGCTGCCCTCAGCGAGCAGGACTGGTCCGATGCTGCGCTCGCGGACGCCGGATGGGTTAGTGCTGACGGGTCGCCTGCTCAGATCTTCGGGTCGTCCCTCGACCTCCAGGACTCGTTCTACCAGTTCTTCTCGGAGCGCGTCGCGGAGGATTTCGGGATGGACTTTCCTGAGCGGGCGTCCTACTACCAGGTCTCCCACATCTGGACGCCCGACGGCCTGTCCCCTGTCGACCCCGACGAGCTCGTGTTCCCGGTCTTCCGCGGGGTGCCGATGGGGTGGTCATGGGCACTCTGGGCCGTGCACTCGTCCGTCACGTCCTGGGTCTCGGACACGCTGCCGGGGGGTGCCCGACGCCTGCTGCTTGACAAGCAGCCGGCTCCCGTCGCGGCACCCTTCCGCCCCACGGGGTCGGTCTACGTGGACAACGTCTCGTTCCTGGGCCTCTCGAGCGACGACGTCGGGCACGCGCTGCAGGCCGCGAAGGACAAGCTCGACTCGCTCGGCATCGCGTGCCACGAGGTCGAGGGCCCGGCCACGCACTTCACCACCGTCGGCGTCGAGTACGACGGGAGGCGGAGGCGTCTGCGGCATTCAGATCACCGAGCCTGGCGCCTCTATTTGGCCTGTCAGGAGCTCGAGCGCCCTGGGGTTCCGCGCGCGGCCTGGCAGATCCGTGTGTTCCTCGGGCACTGTGTGCAGCACTGCCTGCTGCTGCGGCCGGCCCTCTCGATCTTCCGCCTGCTCTACCGCTTCGTGGGCGCGCAGGGTCAGGGGCCTCCAGTCGCGCTGTCTGCTGGGGCCCGCCGGGAGATCCAGCTCTTCAGGGGCCTCATCTTCCAGGCCGTCGTCTTCCTGGACCGGCCGATGTCCTCCCTGGTTTTGTGCTCCGACTCGTCCGAGGCAGGCTACGCCCTCCATCGCCGACGCGCTGACGTTCGACTCCTTCGGCAGCTGGCTGCTACCCGGGAGAGGTGGAGGTTCGTCCCCGACGAGAAGCGCCCCGACGCGGCGCTCGACGACACCTTCTCCCCGGGCTGGGTGCCTGGCGCTGGAGGGGTGCTGGGAGAGCCGCCGGGCGCTACAGGCGTGGCCGTCTGGGCCCCGCCGCCGACGCGCTCGAGGGAGGGCGCCCGAGGCGTGCTCAAAGGCCGGCTCAGACCCACTGTGCGGCCTGCTGGCGTCTCCGTGCCCGACAGCCTCGTCGATCCCAGGGACTGGTCTCTCATCGTCGAGGGCGCCTGGCGCCGCGCGGCCCCCATCCACCTGCTGGAGGGCCGCATCGCCCTGGGCGGCCTGCGACACGCCGCCTGGCAGGTCGACTGCCACGGCTCCCGGGTGCTCAGCCTGGGCGACAACATGTCGGAGCTCCTCTCCGTCGAGAAGGGGCGAGCCGTGGACCACGGCCTCGCCTGTCTGTGCCGGCGGGCCGCCGCCTACCAGATCGCCTGCGGGATCTCCTGGCGGCGCCGGCACCTCGACGCGGACCGCGACCTCAGTGACGCGGGGTCGAGGAAGGCGCTGCAGGGCGTCTACCGCCCAGGACAGCGGCGGGTTGGCGGCGGGTCGGAGAGGCCCGCCCTGCCCGCTGGGTGCCCGCAGTCGGCGCCCCCGGCGCCGGCCCCGCCGGCGCCCTCGGCGACCGCCAGCTGGCCAGTCGCCGAGGAGGCTTGCGAGCCTCCCCCCGCAGCGCGGCTGCGCGGCGGCCGACTGCAGACCTGCCCGCCGCGGCCGCCGCCGCGGGCTTCTGGGGCTGCTGGCCGCTGCGGGCCGCGGCGCGCCCCACGGCCACAAGAGGGGCCCGCAGCCGGCGCCCCTGGCCACCCTGCACGCAAGGCGACGTTCGACGAGGCCGAGGGGGCCCGCGACCCGTCGCCGCCTGCGGCCTGCCCACGCGGGCGCCGCCCACGGCCGCGGCCAGTGCCCCCGCCGCGGCCTGCTGGGGCCCTCGGACGAGTCGGACGGAGACTCGCGCCGGGGCCTCGGCACCTCTCTTCCGAGCGGGCCCCGCCACGTCTGGGCCGCTCCGGGCCGCGCGCGCGCGTCGGGGGCGCGCCGCGCGGGCCGCCTGCCCTCGGGAGCCTTCGCTTGCATGCCCGGCCTGGCCGAAAATGGACGACAGAGCCTCCCGGGCCGCCGCCCCCTCCGCCCCTGCCGTTCGTCGCGGTCGAGCCGGTTCGTGTTCCTGTACCTCGGCTTCGTGGGCGTCGGGCGGCTCTCGAGATCTTCTCGGGGGCGGCTCGCTGGACGGGGGCTCTCGCGCAGCTCGGTCTGGCTGTCGCGGCTCCGATCGACATCAAGTTCGGGGGCTGGGGCGACCTGCTTCGGCCCGGCATCGAGACCGTCGTTCGCCAGTGGATCGTCTCTCGCAAGGTCTGGTTCGTGCACTTCGGGACTCCGTGCACTCCGTGGTCAGTTGCTCGCCGTGGGGCCAATGATACGTCTGCTATACGTGCCGATCGGCGGTGTGCTCATGTCACTCTTCGTCTACTTCGTTTGTGCGTTCAGTTCGGCGTCAGGTGGTCCCTCGAGAACCCCCGGGGATCCCGGCTCTTCTCTTGGGAGCCTCTCCAGAAGTTCCTGTCCGAGCATAGCAAGGTCTCCGTGGTGTATGACTGCTGTCGGTTTGGAGCCCCGTACCAGAAGCCCACCAGGATTGAGTCTGACCTCCCCGAGCTCGGTACCCTTGAAGGCGTTGTCTTGGAGGTCATGCCCACGAGCATCTTCAGGGGAAGGTCAAGGTCCGTGATCGCCAGGGTCGGCTCAAGCAGTTCTGGCGCACGACCCTGGCTGGCGCCTACCCTCCTGGTGTCTGCCACAGCGCCGCTCGGGCCGTGGCGCGCGCGGCGCCCGCGGGAGCCTGGCGACAAGATGGGGATCCACTGCTGCCCGGTCACTGGGAGACTCAGCTCCGCCGTGCAGCCAAGATGGACGACGTCCAGCCGTCCCTCGAGTGCCCCAGCTGCCCGCGGAAGTGGGTCGCGCTCTGGCCCCCCGACGCCGAGGGCTGGGGCCGCTTCGTCGGCCTCCCGCGGCCGCGGGCAAGGCCGAAGCCTCGGCAGAGGCCGGGCGTCGGCTGCCCGGGCCCGCCAGGTGCCTGCTGACTCCTCGCCGGGCTTCCTGCGGCGCTCGCAGGTGCGGCCGGCCACTCAGGCCCGCTACCTCGCCAGCGTCGTCGTGTTCGCCACGGCCATGGGCGTTGTCGCCGACCGCTGGGTGAGCAAAGACCTCCCCCTGGTGGACACGCTCCTCGTGGAGTACTTCGAGCAGCTCTACGTCGACGGCGGCGGCAAGAGCACGGCCCGCTACACCTTGGCCGCCTTGGCCTACCGATTCAGCGTGTCGCTTCGTGCCCCGGACGTCTTCCCAAAGGCGAAGGGCGCCCTCTCCGGCTGGGGCAAGCTCGAGCCGGACGTCACCTCGGAGCCGCTCTGCTGGGCGGCAGCGTGCTTGATGGCCCTGTACCTGGCCGGCCTCAATACGGAGATTGCCCTGCAGGCCGCCCGCGGGCTGGTGGTGCAGTTTGACACGTACTTGCGCCCTGGCGAGCTGCTGGACCTTCGCGTGCCCTGCTGCATCCTGCCGCAGCCGAGTGCCGGCTCAGGCTACAACAAGATGGGGCTCGTCGTCGGTGCCTCCGCGCTGGTCATGGGCGACGACGTGCACACTCGCGTGACCAAGACTGGCCTCCAGGACGACACCGTGCTCATCGATGGCCAGTCTCGTGCTGGCGTGGCCGGCGCCCTCATGGCCCTCGTCAAGAGCGCCAACCAAGCCCGGCAGGGGCGCCTCATGTTCCTCCACTCGTACGCTTCGTACAACCGCTTGCTCAAGAAGGCCGCCGTCGCCGTCGGCCCCCCGACCAAGGTGACGGCGCACCTCCCTCGGCACGGCGGTCCGTCGGAGAACTACCTGAGGGGCGCCCGCTCGCTGGCCGACATTCAGTCTCGCGGCAGGTGGTCGAGCTTCCGTTCTGTACAGCGCTATCAAAAGAGCGGCCGTGCACTTGCTTCTTTCAGACGCCTCTCGGCCGCAGTGAAAGCAGAGGCTAAGCGTGCAGAGGCCATGCAGTTATCCTTCCTCTCGTGAGTTGCCTCCCAGCGCTCAGCCTGCTGCAGTGTTCCCTCGGCGAGCCAATGGAGTTGATATGGGATTTACTCCAGCGTTCGATATGGGTTTGATTTCAGGTCTGGCCAGACTGTCAGATTTCTCGAGCTCCTCGGCCGTGTGGGCCAGTGGGCTCTCGTTGTTTCAGCTCTGCCGTCAGCCGCCATCGCAAGTGTATTCAGGTGTGGGCCTGAGCTCTCGGCGCTGCAAAAAGAAATGAAAGTCCTCGTCACGCCAGCAGTCTTTTTCCGTTAGGCTGACGCCGTTCCGAGTCTCTTGGGACCCACGCCCTGGGAGGGGTGTCCGTTCAAGATTGCATTGCATTTGGTCTCATCGCTTGTGCATTCGCTCTCTCCCCTCCCGCTGCCTCTTCCCCTCAAGCCTTTCTGCCGTCCCGCCCTTCCCACCCTGGGAAACGCTGGAGTGGAAGGCAAAGCTTGGACTTCTGCGAATTCGGGTTTGATTTCAGGTCTGGCCAGACTGTCAGATTTCTCGAGCTCCTCGGCCGTGTGGGCCAGTGGGCTCTCGTTGTTTCAGCTCTGCCGTCAGCCGCCATCGCAAGTGTACTCAGGTGTGGGCCTGAGCTCTCGGCGCTGCAAAAAGAAATGAAAGTCCTCGTCACGCCAGCTGTCTTTTTCCGTTAGGCTGACGCCGTTCCGAGTCTCTTGGGACCCACGCCCTGGGAGGGGTGTCCGTTCAAGATTGCATTGTAATCCGCCACGAAAGGGTTCCCTTTGTAATTCGCCACAAAAAGATGTCCTTTGTAATCCGCCACAAAAGGAATCAAGCTGTAATCTGCCACACAAGGATTCCATTTGTAATCCGCCACAAAAGGAGAGCCCCCTTGTAATCCGCCACTGAAGGAATCAAAGTGTAATCCGCCGCAAAAAGAATCAATTTGCAATCCCCCGCGAAAGAAAACAATTTGTAATCCCCCACAAAAAGAATCCATGTGTAATCCATCACAAAAAAAATCCGTTTGTAAACCACCACAAAAGGAATCCTTGTGTAACCGGCGACATAAGGAATCTTTTTACACCCCGGTCTCCCGCGCTCCCGCTCTCCCGCTCTCCCGCACTCCCGCGCTCCCGCCCTTCCTCCCTCCCGCTCTCCCGCTCCGGGCGCGATGCGGAGGAGGAGGAGGAGGGGGGGGAGGAGGAAGAAGAGGAGGAGGAACGAGAAGTGAAGAAAGACAGGCGATGAGGAAGAGGAGGAGGAGGAGGAAGAGGGGGATGCCGAGCGATCGAGCGCGCGATGTCGGTCCGGTGGGGGCCAGCCCTACGAGGGCGGCGGGGGGGGGGGCCGAGCCTTCAGTAGTCGGCCTGGGACTGGTCGTCGAAGTCTGGATGAAACTGGGACTGGTGTGGAACGTCGGATGTTGGAGGCTGGATGTCGAAGTGATGGCGATGGTGGTGATGATGATATTGACGATGATGATGATGATGATGATGATGCTGATGATGATGATGGCGATGATGATGGCGATGATGGTGATGCTGATGATGGTGATGTTGGTGATGCTGATGATGATACTGCTGTTGATGATGATGACGATGATGATGGTGTTGATGATGATGACGACGACGATGATGATGACGATGATGATGATGATGATGGTGATGATGATGATGACGATGAGGAGCACTATGCGATGAGTGCGATCCCGCTCATGATGAGGAAGAGGATGAGGAGCTAGATTTGAGGAGTGAGGACGAGGAGGAGGAGGATCGTCGAGGAGAGGGGGCGGAAGGAGGAGGGGGTACGATGAGTGATGAGCATCATTCACTCTCTGTTTCGCCTCTTCTGTTGCTGACCCGGCCGACTCATTACTTGGAGCTTGTGCTCTTTCACGCTCCTTGGATCTTATAGCCCCTCTCCTTTTCCATCCCCTTATCTTCTCTTCTTCGTCAGAGTATATTCGGCTTTGGTTTTCCATTGTTGTTCTGCAACTCTCTCCCGCGCCGGCGCCGCGGCACGCCGTGCCAGCTTCATCAGCAATAGCGATCAAGGAGAAAACCGATAGGTTCCGAGATCGTAAAAGGACGGCCTCATTGATGAAGTGGGTGGCCAAACCTTGGGTTATGCAATGCCCCAAGGACGCTGCGCAGAGGCACCTCCGCCAGGTCCACAACACATGTGCAACGCTTAGGCGTGATAAGGCCGAGCTTGCCAAAACAGTCAAAAGCCAGAAGAAGGACTTGTTCCTTCTATGTCGCGACAAGTTCGCGGCCGAGGTATTGTGGATGTGAATCGCTTCCCATCCAATGAAACAGGCGCACAATTGTGAACGCAACTCGCAACAGCAAACAGCACAGCACGGCAACGAACGCACACTGGAAAGCAACAGCACGACAACGGCAACCCGACACTTCCACGCAACAGACCAGAACACAACGCGATGTATTTGCATCCCCACCCAGCGCGCAGCGGAGAACAACCGCAAGGCCTACGACAGGGCCAAGAAGAAGAACGACAAGTTGGAAAACGTGGTGGAGGAAGCGGCGCGCCTAAGGCTTGGCGGCGCACCCGGTGAGGAGAGAACAAGGAGTTGGCTTTCCAGGAAACATGGTGTTTAGATTCTTCGGGGCGCTGCTTAGACAGCCTCTGAAAGAGAGAGAACGCTTCTTAAGGCGCTTCCTGTTTTCCGAGAAGGCTGGCCCTTTCCTCTCTCCCTCCCCGTCGGCGCGCCGCCGAAAAGAAGGCGTCGGGTGCGCGGGGCCAAGGCCGAGGGCAAGGCGGAGGGCTTGGCCGCGGCCCAGGAGGAGGCGGAGAAGGAGCGCGACCGCCTCCAGAACGCACTTTGGGAGACCCAGGCCGTTTTTAAGCGCGGAAAAAACGCCGCCCGCCACTCGGGGACCGACAGACTTTGGCGCTCCTCTCAGGCGCGCGCCTGGGGGCGCGGCAAAGTTCTTGAGGGGGGGGCCCAATCAGGCCAAGCACGACAACCTCTCCCAGCAGAGGGCCCGCTTCCTCGCGCTGGCCACCGCCGCGCAGAGGGAAAAGTACTTCGAGCTCGCGAAGAGGCCGGCGACTCGGAGGAGCATCCGTGACGGATGCTTCGGTGACCAGTAGGCTGGTTGCCGGTGCTAATTTCGAATTCAACTGCCACCGCCCCTGCGCGCAAAACAGAAAACCAACGCTGGGGTTCCAATCAATCGTATGAAAGAAGGGGCATCCTGTGATGGATGCCCCTTTTGCAAGAGATATATATATATAGAGAGAGAGAGAAACAAAGAAAGATGAGAGAGAGAGAGAGAGAGAGAGAGAGAGAGAGAGCACGATCAACGAACGCCCGAAACCCTGAGGAACATGCAGCAATTACAACAGCCGCGCAGCAAAACCCGGAGGAAAACGCAACATTAACAACAGCCGCACAGCACGACGAACAAGCGCGGATACACGGAGGAACAAGTACGATTCACAGCAGCAAACAAAGCACGACTGAGAGTAGAGAGCGCAATGCGCGAACAAGCGCAAACAAGCATAGAGCAATCAGCAAGAACGACTAAGAGCAGAAACGCGAAGTACGAAACCTGGCCGCGCGCCCGTGCAAACGCGGGGCATCCTGTTTTGGATGCCCCCGTTTGGGAGGAATCGGCGGTGCTTCGCGCTCTCGGGGTGGCGGGAGGGCGCGGTCCTATGTGATTGATGAAGAGGGGGCGAGCGAGCGCCGCGAGAGCACTGGGGAGCGATGTCCAAGTCGAGATGGCAAAGTGCACGCGGCTGATCATCAGACTTGCACCCAATAAGAAAAATGATGCAGCAGGCTATCTAGTGAATGGTTTGTTTCCATGGTCGCAAACGTTGACGCCCGTAGTCATCGGACATTATTCGGGGATCCCGCTGTTATTATTAGAGCTCAAAAACAATAACCGCTATTTATTTGGGCAGTACTCCCCGCTGTAGTCATCGCCTCCTCGCGATGGCCGAGCTCGCGACCATTGCCCAGATGGAGATGTGCGAACCCACGTGCTTGGAGAAGGGCTGGGGGCACTTGCTCGGGGTACCGCGGCGCGCCGCTGACGATATGGACATGTGCAACGTCGCCGCGCGCGCGCAGTGCCCGCTGCGCCCGCTGCCGCGCGGCTTCGCCGAGGGCGACGTCGTGTACTGGGCTGCTCGAGACGGCTCCTTCGGGCAGCGCCCATCTCGGGGCCCGCCGATGCGCGGTCGGCGATCTCCGGCGTCCGACCAAGGAGATCTCTCGGTCGCGCGATCCCGAAGGCGTCTGCCGGCTCGCGATCGAGGCAGCGGCCGAATCGATTGGGGGGCCGGGCAGGCGCGCCATCTGATCGGGGATCGGGCGGCCTGTCGTTCAAGCGATCGGCTGGGGGCTCAGGCGCGGCAAGGTTCTCGGTGGCGACCGCCAGCCCCGCATCCGCCTGATATTTGTATGTTTTGTTGTTTTATCAAAAAAGCGTTTGAGTCTATCGGGGCTTTTAAGCCATATGTTTTTTTCTTTGGGGGGATGTATGGCGCCCGCGATGGCGGCGGATGTGGGTTTGCGGGTTGCCGGCCAGGTTGTCGCGACCAGCTGCCGGTTTCACGACGTCGGCGTCCTGGTCCGCTTCAAGGGCGCCACGTTCCACTGCCTGTGCAGCGCATTGACAACTTCAGACCCGAAGGGGGACAAGCGGGAGCGACGGCAGAGTTGTGGCCTCCCCCGCTCAGACGAGAATGGCCCGCCATCGTCGCCGATTGGGGCGGGCGGCGCCGAGCGCGTCGACCGCCGGGGAGGTGCCGGCGAGATGTCGCCGTCGACGGCGGGGGGCGGCGCGCCGACAGAGACATCTGGCGCGCCCGAGTCGGGGTCGCACGCGTGGGCGACGCCGCAGCCATCTCCCGGGCGCGGGCGCGATGACGAGAGGCAGCAGCATAAGTCTAGAAGTCTAGATTGCGTCGCTCGCGGCGGAACAAGAACCGCCGCTCCGCCCCAGACGCGCCCGTGGCAACTTCTCCTGGAGGGAATCAGCTTCTCCCGC